TGAAAGCCATGGGTGGCAGGGGAATTGTACAACAAAATTAAATTAAGAAACAACCTATTTCAAACATTTTTATCCTTCAGAGATGCAAACGACCTACGCAGTTATAAAAAAATCCGTAAGAATATGTACAATGAATTTAAGATAGCTAAGACAAATTACAATATCAATAAATTTACCGCTCATTGAAGAGATGCACGCCTCCTGTGTGATACAATAAATGAGCTGGTTGACAAAAGAGAGGTATCGAGAAGGATCAAGTTCAGAAAACTCGGTATGAGTAAATCAGAAATTGCTGACACTTTTAACAAACACTTTCTTACAGTTGAGCAGTTTACAGCGAACAGCACAGAAACATATTTCCAGAATCATAAAGCCACAAATTGATAATCCAGTGTTTTTCTCTATTTACTGACCAACACAGCATGGAAAAATTATTCATGTCAATAAAAGATCAATGTGCTTGCGCTTCTCATGACAATTAGCTTAAGCCGTTAAAGGCTATTAGTCACATTATCACTATTCCTCTGAGTGCGCACATTCATAACTTGATGCTACCGTCTGTACTTCTTCCCGATCAAATGGAACTTGCTAAAGTTACTACAATATATAAGAAGGTTCGTTTGGTTGTCTAAACAAATACAGACCTATCTCAGAACTTTCTGTATCCGTGAAAATGGCTGAGGGTAATATAAATAAGACATACACGGGTTTTGTAAGAGCAAACAATGTTATTGCAAAAAAAAACGCAATGGTTTCCGCGAAAATAAACGTACTGAATCTGCTTTACTCCGTAATAAACAATACATTCTAGAGAAGATTGAAAACAAAATCGGCACATAAGGAATGTTTCTTGATTTCAGTAAGCCACTTGAGAGCATACAACACGATCTACTTTTACGTAACGCCCCGCCGCGGTGGTCCAGTGGCTAAGGTACTCGGCTGCTGACCTGCAGGTCGCGGGTTCGATTCCCGGCTGCGGCGGCTGCATTTCCGATGGAGGCGGAAATGTTGTAGGCCCGTGTACTCAGATTTGGGTGCACGTTAAAGAACCCTAGGTGGTCAAAATTTCCGGAGCCCTCCACTACGGCGTCTCTCATAATCAAATGATGGTTTTGGGACGTTAAACCCCACAAATCACTCAATCAATACTTTTACGTAAACTGCTGTACTCCTGTAATTGTGGTACCACAGTCCAACTGATACAAAGTTAGCTGTCATCGACAAAAGCAATATACAACTCTAAACATTATACGCTTACAAGTCGAACTCATTGCGTATGGTGACCCTCAAAGATCCATCCATCCTCAGGGACCAGTTCTATTGCTGTTGTTCATTAAGATATTGTAAATATTGAGGGATATTAAAAATAATTTTGTATACCAATCATACAAACGTATTCTTTGCAGGATCAGACGTATGCAAATATATAAGGAAGCCAACATATGAATGAACTAGAGAAAGTATGAATAAACGTAATCAAACTTCAACTGAACATCTCTAAAACAATACATGTACTTCAAACCGAAAGGGGTAACATGCATTCCATGCGCACAAATTTACTTTCAGGGCGTGGAGATTCCGCGAACAGCAAAAATGAAATTCCTAGAAATTCAATTTGAAGAACAACTTTATTTGACCCCCACATAGACACAATAAAAATGATGCTTCAGAAGAATCGGCATTTTAAATAGGCTAAGGTACTTCACCCGAACAAATATCAAGCGACAAAATTACTATGCTCTTGTATACTCTGATTACCGTACTGTTCCTTAGCGTGGTTAACAACGACTGTCATAAACCTTAATTCTCTTTAGTGCTGCAAAAGCGCGCAATACGTGCAATATCTAGCACTGCACTCCATAAAGTACTCGATCATGTTTCGAAAGCTACATAATATTGCCCATCAATCAGTAATACAGACACATGCTATGTTTAGAGGTACAACATCAGTTTAAGGTAATATATCTCCATTCTTGGATACATATTATGTAACAAACATCATATTATATTATGTAGGAGCTTAATATGGAGATCCTATATCACACACAACTTCGGAGACCAACTATCAAGCTGACGCATACCAAACATCCTAAATCAAGAACTTCAATCAAGCTTCATTTATTGCAAAATGAAACATCAGTTACTTCATTAAAATATCAAAAAGAACTCCTAACAGTAGAAAATTATGATTCTTTTGATCCTTGAATGTGGTGACTATATATGTCTTGTATTCATTTCCAGCTTGTTTTTTAAGCCAGTGATAGTTATTACTTTACAGTAATCGATTGTACTTTTTTAATAAAGTGATTTTTGATTACTCACTGTTACTTTTCCCAGCATTCTAGTAAATGTTGATAAAGTTTCTGTGTAGTTCACACGCAAATGCAGCGAGAAGCTATATTTATTACCTTTCTTTTTGTTTTAAGTTCATTTTGAGGTCGGTGTATTTATACAACTTTAAGACAACTGTGTTAATACTCTCTTTCACTTATATCAAAATATTTTTAATCCTGTAACCACTTCATATAATGATGATGTACAAGTGCATTCTGTAACACAAATGCTTGTTGTTGTGTTCATGTTCTTGCGGGCCCAGTGGCACGAGCTAGTGAGGCGTTTATTCAACCCTTAGTCGGGACCCCCAAGGCAAATTGTAACAATTTTGCCTTGCATAAACTGAAACGAAGTGTAATAAAATCATTGTGCAAGGAAATAACGTGTGTGTTTTATGTGGTTCTCTGTCTACACGACTATTTAGACTATCTATATTACAAAGACCATTGCACTACATTCCTTAGTTGAAGTGGGCGCATCCTATTTTGAAATGCTCTGAGGTTAAAACAGTGCTGCTCAGGAAGCATGCTCACAAATATGTGAACAGAAGAAATGAATGTGCTAAGAGTGAGCAGGTAATCTCGGAAATTATACTTCTGCTACAGGGCAGAAGAGCCATGTGCAATCTTATGCACCTAACTTCATACAAGATAAACTCCCTTCGAAAACAAAACCACACGTGTTTAGTAAGCTCTGGAGCCGCACTTACGTCGCTCGCTACAGGGACCAGGTCACCAGGGCAACAGTTAGCAAATCGCAGAGGGATACTTAAAGATACGCTTTGAAATATAAAACCTGAAGGTAGTATTATAAATCACCCTAGCATGCTTTCCGTTTTCATTGCAGTGGTTTGATTCCTCATCTTGGCGCTATCCACGTGTTTTGCTCGTGTGCGCATATTTGCTTCTTCTGAATGCTCTATATCAGACATACGCCATCTTGCCCCCTCTTCTTTCTTTTTCTGGCTCATTAGGTACCTCCATGTGACAATTTTCATGTGCTTCTGTTTCAGTTGCTTTGCACCAATCAATAATACAAAATATGACATTCGTATTGTAATGAAAGTCTGGCACACATGAAGGCCCAAATTTCTAAGTGAGGCGAAAGTGTAAATAGGGTGAAAATTAAAACGTGCTACACTAAACTGGTGAAAGCGCAACAATAGGTGACTCTGTAACATCAAAAATGTTATGTCATAGATAGCGGATGGCAATACAAACGTGGCCTTCTTTGCTCAGCATAAAACGAATATGCATGCCAGTGGTCTATTTCTTGTAACGTGTGCATGCTATACTGTTGCGTAACCTTAATTTTACAAAAAATGAGCTTCCTCAAGGGCCAGAAACGACGAAATTATGTTTTACTTTAAAGTATCCTGAAACAGAAGCGACTTTCTCCTGCCTATCGATGCCAATATGATGACTTCAATGACACGCAAGCAATCGCAAAAACCACAAGGACCATAGGCCCAGGCAACATAACCTAAAATATGTCAATTATGGTGCATTAAAGGTGTACACATTGAGTCCCAACACTACTACAGATTCGCCGTGCTCACTCTTGTTGCACAGGCACAAGTAAGCACCATGAATTTTCTCCTGAATTTGTAACGGTTCCAGCTCTGTCCTAATGAGAATTGGCAGACAATCATGCCAAGAAAGTATAGAGTATTGTATGAGAAGTTATTATTATGTAATTGTGACGAGAAAAGTGAACAAAAAGATAACTTACCGTGGGTAGGGACCGAACTTCGACCTTCCAATAACGTGAACGATGCTCTAAGAACTGAGCTACCCCGGCGGCTATCACCCCGTTCACTTCATGATGCATGTATGTGCACTGAAACGTTGGAGTTCTCAATAGTATTATGTATAACGAAACAAAAAAATAAACAACCCCTAAATTTACCTTTCTTTTTTTTCATTCATGGCAAGAGTCTCATTCTTGCTGACTTAATGCCTTCAGGTGGTGTGCAAAGTATCATTGTTTAGCTGCGAGCTTGTAATAAGATCACGTGCTACGTGAAGCCAACTGGCAAAAAAATTAGTGTTCCACACTCGCCCTATTGGCAACAGGTGGTGCTTACTGACACTCCCACGTTTAAATGCACATGCCTACCCCATGAAGTGAACTGGGTGAAAACCGCAGTGGTAGTTCAGTTGCTATAGCATCGGAGGCGTTTTTCGAAGGTCACCCCACGGCAAGTTATCTCTTCGTCCACATTTCAGTTTTTACAACTACACTACAATTACTTTTATTACTATCCCCTTTTCCTTGACTTATTGCTTGTCAGTTCTTATTGTTATTCCGTCTAACGAAGAAATACCAGCCCTTAAGTTTACCCCAGCAGTGTTTTAGTTTCCCAAGCTTATTCGACAGCCTCTCAATATTTGCCCGGATTTTATTTTCGTCTGATGCATCCCGATGCGTAGCAGACTTATCTGTAAAAAAATAATTTAGGAGTTTGCTTTCACGAAGCCACTATCTATAGGAAGCCTTTGTGGGTTTTCGGGAGTACTAATGACAATCCGTTGTTTTTTTTTGTTTTTTTACGCTGCTTGCAAAACCAAGCTTGTCATTATGTTTTCATGCATTCAATTAGCAAATAACACACTCTCGGTGGCCATTATTGAAGCTGATAATGTTTATTCTTCATTTTCAGTTACACTGTGCGCAGCAGTGCCTTGGCAACCATGGTATCCTTGGAGGATCTTCAATAGTTTTATCACCAGAAAGGAGAACAAGTTCGAAAAATTGCCATAAAAAAGAGAACAGCTTACTTCAGCTATGCCATGGTCATCTTTCAGGTGCCAAATGTAGGTTGCTTCTTTTGCTTGAGGATCGAAGCGAGTTCGTGTAGCACTCAGGCACTTGAAGGGTGAGTTGTTGCTGTCCTTGTAGATGCTGACAGGTCGCGAAAACGCCTCGATCACCTGAGCGAAAAAGTAAGCATTTGATTATCGATATGCAAAAACATATATTTTATGAAAGGGCACACACAAGAGCGCAGCAGGTAGCCTGAAACCTGGCCTGTGGTTTGGCATCACGGCGAGATGTGAAAGGCGAAGTGAACAAAACAGCCAGAGAACAAGGGACAAGACAGGTTCCTGCTGAACAGATACCTTTTTTCATATCCTACCTTTGTGCTACCAGGGGCTCTTTTCTGCTGCTAGTGTATACACTCTATGCATCCCCTAATGAGAGTGACCAAGGAATACATTTATGAGTGTGATTGCGAAAATTTCGAGCGGGGTTTTATTTCATTAGAACCAAGAGCTACTTCTCTGTTTTTACCTCAAGACCAGTCCTTTTGGTCCATGGGGCTTTCATAATACAGCACAGCTTTATAGCTCTTGAATAGGCGTAGAAACGAAGATGTGCCGACGCTAGAGAGTGGACGTTCTAGCACTGCGGAAATTTTTAGAGGGGAGCAGTTTCTTGCAATACCGGCAACCCTCCTTCTACCTTTGTTTCTTCTCACTTCACCAGCAACACGTTGCGGTGGTATAAGCAAAAGTTCGTGTTTACTACTCGTGCTGGCATAACCCCGTATATCACAGTGCAACCCTTTTGCGTGACAATACTACTTCATTTGGTCTGATAACGTTTCGTCATTTCTCTGTGACGTATGCGTTGTTAAAAAAATGGTAACCTGCCTCACTGACTGAGCTTTGCAAATACTGGTGAAACAACGAGTTTGTGTCAACATATTGCCGCACAGACTGCTTTCACTAAGGTTCCAACAAAACGGACATGCCTCGGCCACAAGACGTTTATCACATGAAAAACTGCAGCATAAGAGAACTGCAGCATAAGTTGAACGCTTTAGCAGACTTTTTTATTTATTTCACTATACTCGGTTATGCACAAGTTCTCCCTTAATAAAAGCAGTGTTTGCGTGACCCCCTTGCAATACGTAACAACAATGCTATTTTGTGCACATTTTCTTTGCACTAAAACAGTTTAGCCATCATTAGTAGTGTTTAATCACTCTTCGTGATCTTCAGTCAGTTGAGATTCTGCAAATTTCAATTTTTTATCTAGTGTTATGTGAACCAGAGGTGAGTAGCAACGCTGTGCCAATTTTTCTTGCACATCACCTCACTGGAACTGCCTGAAACTTGTCAGCTAGATTTACTATAGACAGTTTCTTCCCTTGTAGTTGTTTGGAGGTGAGTAGTTGGCACTTATTCGCCAAGAGATGTGTTACACTTCACAGAGATGCAGCGCGACCTTAAGCAGCTGCACTGTTACGAGCTCAAACGTTTTAATTCGGTGCCACAGGGATTGGTAATGTGCAAGGGCATTGTACCTTTGCATTAAGCCATGTTTCAGTGGCGATGTAGAAGTGTCTGCCCATTTGTCTTAGAAAGGGGGGACGGACGTGGAAGGCTGTCACTATCTTTGGGGATTTAGATGAAAGGGAGGCGCGCAAAAGAAAGCTCTCAACACTGTGACCACACTTTTTGTTTTGAGAAGTTTTATTTGAGCAATGTAAATAATGCTGAGAACTTACTGCGGTCATCACCTAAAGCAGCCAAAGTACGTAGGTAGAGAGCAAATGCAACCACAGCCACAGACCCCACCGCCTGGCCTACCCTGCTACATCTGTCCCGTCTGCTGCGAGGTATACTGTTGCTCGATCACCAAAACCACATCGTTTGGGGAATGGCCTGATTTGGTGGAGATAGGGTTGGCTGCACTCGCTGGTATATTGCAGAAGGAAATTCTGCGACGCCAAGACAGAAGACAGACACTGTGTCTGGCCCACTCTTTTCCTTTTAAATGTGCAAGACATGATGCCGTTAAGGATATGTCGCATGCACCCTTTCATAAATTCCCCTATTGCAACATTTATTATGGTAATCCACCTTCTCAAAAGAGATGGCATCGCAGAATTGATTTATGCCTACACTTTACCACATTCATATTAGAAGCTCCATGACAGACGAGGTGTGTGACACGATACTGATGCAATAATTTTTTGCAGACTAGTTGGTTAATGCTTGAAAAAATTGAATTGCTGCACAATTTTGAATTGAATTGTTGTACAAGTTTGCGCAGCAATTCAATTTTTTCAACGATACTGATGCTACGTTATTTTGAGACATGGACGTTAAGGAGGACCGTTTTAGACAGTTACGCGTTTCTAAGTGACGGTATAATTATGGGAGATGCCGTATGAGAGGGCTGCGGAAGTTTTGTCTATCTAAGGTTCATTAACTGACTTGGGAAATATTTCCTTATACTCAAAACTGTGAAGCAGACTTTGTCCGAACGTTGCTAGCAATGACCATATTTCATAATGTTAGAATTTTTGTCTCAGCCATATGAAGATAATTTAGATACAGTTAAAAACCCGTATTATAAATCTGCCCTCATATTTTTCATCATTACACATAAAAAAAGTCTCAGTGCAGAAAACTCCTATGTCGTGATACCGTATTCGTCTTGTAAACAGGACCATTAGTGTTCTTTCGTTGTGAAATGCACTGTGGATTGCAAGGGCTTTTTTTTTCAGTATTACTCTTGAAGTATAATATACGGATTAGTTTACAAACAAGCCATATTATATTTATGATGTATCCTATATGTGTATGAGTAGTTCACTTTTCCAATATTTCCAGTAATTTCTTGCGCAATATTCTTTGCGTACTGGGAGGCTGAAAGAGCTTGTAGTACCGATAATAACTAATTTACCTTCAAGGTTCAATAAAAGGATGTTTTCCTTATCGCTTTTGAATGAAATAGTGCTCTCATAAGAAAAACCACACCATATGTCAATCGCTAGGTTAACATTTATTTTATAATGCATGTTCAAGCTGAATTAAGCCTATATTTTTGAAGTTCTCGGTCAAAGTATGATGCTCTTTAAATGAGGCATCACGCAGATTGCATGAAAGTAACTTATTCTGCAGTATCGACTCAGTATCGGCAATAATATATATATATATATATATATATATATATATATATGCACAATAATATTGCTGATACTGTGTCGATGCTGCCCGTAAATTACTTTCATGCGATCTGCGCGTGCGCGATGCCTGATTTTAGGGGCGTCATATTGTGATGTTAAAAATGTGAACGAAATATCATGCGGTTTTTCTCGTGATATATATATATATGGTATGGGATATGGCACAACGGGAGCGTTGTCAACAAGGATAAATATATTTATTTCCCAACAGTTTCGTGGGAGGGGTCCTCCCTTCATCAGGGGATGAGTTATACTGACATGAATTTCCAAACTTCGTTGCTGCCGCGTCCCTCTCGCCTTGAAACATGTTTGCGAGAGTAGAGGGAGCTAAAAAAAGAAAAGAAAAAAAGGGGGGAGAAAAAAAGAAAAGAAAAAAAGAAAAGAAAGAAAGTAAACAAGAGGAAGAACCACTGTCAACACTGAGAACGAAACCAACTGTCCGTGTACGTCCACATACGTTTCTTCTCACGTGCTGTTCAGTTCTCGACGTGTGTCGGGCCACCTAAGATTGTCGCCGCGGTGCCGGGAGGGTCCGTGACGGCGTGCGTAAAGAAAGGGTTTCCCCGTAATGGGTCGGTCGGCGTGCGGCGTGCGTAAAGGAAGGGGTTTCCGTTAATGGGAACCCCTTCCCACTAATACGACCTAAACTTGAATATTCTTCTGCAGTATGGTATCCTAGTCATGCCAACCTAATACACTCTCTTGAATTGGTACAGAATAACTCAATTCGTTTTATACTTTCCAATTACAAGAGGACAGCTAGCATAACAGCCATGAAATCTAGCCTCAACTTACCTTCACCTTCATCTCGTCGTAAAATGTTTCGTCTCCACTTGTTTCACAAGCTGTTTCGTCACACATCGCTGCGGGACGGTGTTATCTTGCCTCCTAGTTATATCTCACCCCGGCTGGATCATTCTCATAAGGTCGGGTTGCCTTCTTGCAGGACTCGCGCCTTTTCACAGTCTTTAATACCTCGCACCTCTGAGGACTGGAACCGGCTTCCCGCATCAGCAGCCATTGTAAATCACCTTCATTTCAAAAGTGTCTTAGCTAGTTATGTGTAATTACAGCCAACAAAGTATTGTATTACCCGATGCTGTGTTGTTCCTGTACAGTATTTATTTTCTTGTCGTTTTTTCTCTCTTGATGTAATTTTCATCATTCCTGCGTTTTTGTTTGCTCTAAAGCCTGTTAGCTAACCTGTATAATTAAGATCTTCTGCTCGATGTAAGATTCGCCGCTGCATTTGTAAGAATTTTTGTCTTTTCTATCGCAACCACTGCCCTCTGTAATGCCGTTTGGCCCTGAGGGTACTGCAAATAAATAAATAAACAAATGGGTCGGTCGGCTCTTTTTACCTTTAATCATCGTCCGATTAAAGGTAAAAAGAGCCGACCGACCCATTAACGGGAACCCCTTCCTTTACGCACGCCGCACGCCGACCGACACATCACCGGGAAACCCTTTCTTTACGCACGCCGTCACGGACCCTCCCGGCACCGCGGCGACAATCTTGGGTGGCCCGACACACGTCGAGAACTGAACAGCACGTGATAAGAAACGTATGTGGACGTACACGGACAGTTGGTTTCGTTCTCAGTGTTGACAGTGGTTCTTCCTCTTGTTTACTTTCTTTCTTTTCTTTCTTTTTCTTTTTTTCTCCCCCCATTTTTTGTTTTCTTTCCTTTTTTTAGTTCCCTCTCACTCTCGCAAACATGTTTCAAGGCGAGAGGGACGCGGCACAACGAAGTTTGGAAATTCATGTCAGTATAACTCATCCCCTGATGAAGGGAGGACCCTCCCGAAACTGTTGGGAAATAAATATATTTATCCTTGTTGACAACGCTCCCGTTGTGCCATATCCCATACCTTCACGAAGACTAACTGGCCCATTGAATTATTACTCCCACTATATATATATATATATATATATATATATATATATAT